GTACAATGCCGAGGAAATGATCATTGCTGGAAATGGAAGGTTAAATTAGATGGCATCTCAGACATCATTGATGCTAGATGGGTGCACCAACTGGGGACTTGGAATGTGTTTTGCACAGCCAGTCAGGACCCTGTCTCCCAGCCACACAAAGTCTGGTCACACTGCAGCACCAGCACCACTTGGGAGCATTCTAGAGCCGAATCCTCAGCGTCCAGCCAGGCCTGCACCTCAACAATGCTCCTGAGTACTCTGTATGCACAGCGAAATTGGAAGCACACTTCTCAGTATACATGAGCATTTAAAAATGCAACTACTAGACTGTGGGTCATACACACTTTTAAATTACACAACCCATTACATTCACGGGCAGTATATAAGAATTCCCTTTAACCCACATTCTCTTAAACAGCTGGTTACATCAGAATTCTTACGTACTGCCATTCTATTAGATGTAAAATTATACATGGTTTTACATCTCATGCATTAGTAAGGTTGAGAACATTTTTATGTTTATTGGCCAATTGTGTTTTTTCTTCCACCCATATCTCTTAACCATTTCACTAATAATCTGTCTTTTTAAATTTTATTTGTATAAGTCCTTTATCCTATGTCCTATTGCTTTTTCTATTACCTATGCTGCAAATATCTTTTGCCAGTGTATGGGTTTTTCTGCTTACTTTCTTTTACTATTGCTATGGCTTATGTATAGATGTTCCCCCAAAGCCTCATGAGGTCATGGGTGGGACTTTTCAGAGTTGGCTGTACCCAGGGTGTGTGATGCTGGGATTCAGGGTATATAATTACTAACTTAGTCCATTGGTTGGTTTGGCATAGTTCTGGGTGTGGATAATGGGAGGCCCATCCTGGGTGCCAGTGGCACCACACAAAGAGCAGGAGACCTGGAAGGGATAAGAGGAAGAAGCAGGCTGCTGCTGCTGCTTCCTTGCTACTTCACTCCTTTGCTGCCTTCCTGCCTTCTGCCCACAATGAACTGCTTCTCCTCTTCCATGACACCCTGTCTTGGAGGCAACCAATTAAGAACTGAAATTGCTACAATTTATGAGCTGAAATAAACATTTCCTCCTTTAACTTTGCATGTCAGGTATTTTGTCTCATCAATAAGGAAAGTAAAGAAGGCAACTGTATTTGATAAACTGATGTTCTCATTTTATTCCATAGATTAAAATTTTTGTGCTTTAAAGAAATCTTTTCCTACTTTGAAGTCATAGAGATTTTTCCTTCATTTCTTCTAAAGGTTTTGTTTTTTGGGGTTTTTTTTTTGTACTGGGGATCGAACTCGGGACCTTGCGCTTGTAAGGCAGGCACAGGAACCACTGAGCTACATCCCCCAGCCCCCTAAAGGTTTTTTTTATGTTTGATGGGGTAGGGAATCTCTTTCCATTTTTAAAATTTGAATAATGATGATCTCAACACCCCTTATAAGTGGTCACCTTTCACTGAGATGCTTCAAGGATGAAAGGAATTGTCAAGAATGCTGACAAAAGTTGGGGTTCCTGGTAAATATACTCTGAGATTTCATGGAAGAGGTTTATTTAGTAGAGTTCTAAGAAAAAAATCCTATGTGGGAAACAGGAATGGGGAGAGATTTAAGTTGAACATTACAACGGATGGCTCGATACACCCTGTAAGGACCCTCTAAGCAGGGGACAGCTCTTCACAGGCCTGCTTCTTGGCAAGGACAGATATTTTAGGCTCTCTCCCCAGATATTTTAGACTATCCTTTCAATAACCCAATCAAGCAATATAATAAGTTCAAACCTAACCACAATCAATAATCAAACTACACATAAATGGTTTTAACATCACTATTGAAAGGCAGAGATTTTAAGATTGTATAAAAGAAGAGAGACCAAACTATATGCTGCTCACAAGAAATGTGTTTTAAACCATGAAACACAAAGAGGTTTAAAAGAAAAAGATGGAAAAATGATAAATCATGATAACACTGGTTTAAAGAAATGTGAAATGGCTACATTAATACTAGACTAGCTTTATGGATAAATGGTATTAACAGTTATAAGTAAGGCTATTTCATAATGATAATGGAGTCAATTAATCAAGAGGGTATAACAATCATAAACATATCTGCATGTACCTAGTAACAGAGCTTTAAGATATATGAAAAAAATAATAGAAGGAAAAATAGGCAAATTTATAATTATGGTTGGACAGTTCTTTTCCTCTCAATAACTAATGAAAGAAGTAGGAAGAAAATCAGCAAAAAGATAGTGAACTAGAACAGTATTATTAACCACCTTAATCTGATTGACGTTTATAGAATATTTTACCTAACCAAAGAATTCGTACATAGTTTTGTCAAGTGCACATTTACCTATAAAGAGCACATTCTGAGCTTTACAACATACCTTATTGGATTCAAAAATATTCCAGTTATAAAAGGTAGAGTCTCTGATGATGGAAGAATTGAGTTAGAAATCAGTAGTAGAACACTCTTGGGAGAATAACCAAAAACTTAGAAGCTTTATTACATATCTTTAAGTAGAAATCATGGGAGAAATTAGAAAGTATTTTTCACAGAATAAAAATGGAAATTAAAGCATCTCAGAATTTGCAGGGGGCTGTCAAAGCAGAACTTAGAAAGTTATGGCAGAAATGCCTGTATTAGAAAAGAAGAAATGCTGCAAATCAGTGACCTCAACTTTCATCTTACAGAAGGAGAAAATCAAGAGCAAATTAAAACAAATTTTAAAACCCAGAAGAAAGGACATCACTGTGTAATCAGTTACAGCAATACCTCCGTTCACCAAGACTTCTATTTGCGAACAATTCAGTTAGAGATCAGAAGCCTTTGGCAATATTGTGCTTGTTAGTAAAACTCATGTAGTGGCAAACACGACCACGGCTATCTTCCAAAGAACTATGGAATGAATGAAGTTCCTGAGCAAAGGCACCACTGTACATAGAGAACAGAAAAACAGGGTGAAAATCAATTAAATCAAAACCTGGTTCCGTAGATCAGTAAAACTGAGCTGGGCCCCACAGTGTGTGCCCACGGTCCGGCTACTCTGCGGGGCTGGAACAGGAGCACTACAGCCCAGGAGCTCCGGGCCAACCTGGGCCACAAAGGGAGACCTCTCATTCAAAAAAGGAAAACTGATGAACTTCTAGACAGATTAATAAAAAAAAAGAAGATATAAATTAAAATTAGGAATTACTAAAATGAAGAATTACAGTCTACGATTATTAAAGGATGCTAAGAGAATATCATGCCAATAAACTCAGGCTCGCTGCAGATCTCTCCTTCCCGGGCCGTGGGGCGCGCGGGTCCTCCTCGCGAACTTGCCGGAGCCCCGCGGGTGCAGGTGGAGCTGCCAGGGGTCCCGGCCGCCGGGCCATGGGCGTGGGCGGGGCCCAGTAGAGGGAGCGCCCGCTGCGGCAGCTGAGCCGCGCCGCCCTAGCCTCAGCGGGGTGCATCCTTCCCGGGCTTCCCCATGGTCCAAGCGAATGTGACTGTGGAGAGGAAAATGTACCAGGAGGGGCCCAGCGGCAGACGCCCAGCCCAGCCTGCTGATCACCACTCCCAAGCTCCGAGACCTGGAGGAGGAAGAGCCCTGCTCCCTTGAGAATTGCAGTCATGAATTCTGGAGTTGTCATAAAATATGGAAACGACTCCTCAGCCGAGCTGAGCGAGCTCCATCGGGAAGCCCTGGCATCACCCCAGGGAGATATAGTGGAGCTCAATAAACATCTGCAGCAAAGGGAGCGGGAACGGGACCTTTTAGAGAAGAAACTGGCCAAGGCACAGTATGAGCACTCCCACCTCATGAGAGAACACGAGGATGTCCAGGAGCGAAGGACGCTGCGGTATGAAGAACGCATCACGGAACTCCACAGCATCACTGCTGAACTCAGTAAGAAGATAGACCGATTGCAAGGCACCACCATCAGGGAGGAAGATGAGCACTCCAAACTTCGATCGAGCTTAGCCACAGCCAACATGAGGTCAATGAGGACTACTGCAGCATGGACCAAGACCAGACCTCTGTCTCCATTCCTGAAAACCAGTCCACCATGGTCACTGTGGATATGGGACTGTGGTTGAAGATATGTGACCTCTCTGAAAATTCTGGAAGCACAAAACCAATTAAAATTGCTGTTGCCGTGCCTCAATGTTGCAGTCATATCTGAACTGTGATAGTGGGAGTGGAAAGGGTGGAATGGTGTTAACCCACTGCAGGGGCAGGACCCTAGTACCTTTAGAAACATTGGGTAAGAAGGAAGAATCCCAAATGACTTCAACATGTTGATCCTAAGTGACTAAGAGGATAATCATAATCTTTGGTGAAGAAGTTTGGTTGAGAAGTAAGTTGAGAAGTAGGCATACGATGTTTGAGTTTGTAGAGAAATATCCACGTGGAAATACCTGGTACACTGTGTTTTAAACTTCAGGTTGTGACCCTCTGTAGGGTCTTGAAGTTATGAAAATGAAGTATTCTAGGAATGGGAAAACAGCAGTGACAGTATCTCCTCCTGGAACTTGCTTACTGCACATGTGTATGTAGTAAGTTGCCAAAAGAAACGTCCGAACTGTGGGTTGCAGTAAAAATGTTGCAAGACTCTGGCCTGCTTGGAAATTCCTACCTGGACATTTGGAGAGACTGAGGTTGAAGATAGAGGCCTTGAAGTCATGGGAGCTGAAGTGATCCCTGGGGTTGAAAGGTGTGGAGTCAAATGAAGGAGGCCCGGCACGACATATCTCAAAATGGTCACATGTGGTGTGGAGACAGAAGGACCAGTGGGAAAGTGAGTACTGTTAGACCCAGCGAGAAAGAACCAACCAGAGACCGATATTAAATCCACACAGGAGTTTATTACTGAGCATCAGACTCGAGCCCCGACTAGGGGGAGACAAACATGTTTTATACACCTTTGAGGCCAGCAGTTTCTAGGCCCCACTATGGGATAGAACTAGTAAAGCAAGCAAAAGGTACAGAAGTGGAACGTCCTGCCCTTAGAACATTTGTAAAACAATAGTGGATTAACTGTTATTTCTAAAGGGACTTTCTAAGAGGAGGAGGTTTCTAAGCTTCCTCCTTCTGAGTTCATCTAAAGGCCAGGCAGGTAGGTTGTTCAGCAGCAATATGGAGTCTGTCTTGCTAACTAGGGTCCTTCAAGTACAGCACGTTTTCATGGAAGTTAATATTTCAGTGGGTCATATTTCAGTCAAATATAATACATTTTATCTTTAATTCTAAGCCTGTATACATGTGATAATACCATTAAATATGTTACCATGAAAATGTGTCAGAGGATTTTGATTTAGGCCAGGGTTCCAGGGAGGCTTCCTCTCAGAAATGACACGTGACCTAAGCCCCAGAGGATGAGGAGGAATGAAGCAGGTAAAGGAGGAGATGGCATGCAGTGAAGGACTAAATGTACCTGAGGAGGCGAGAGAGAGACCATTGTGTGTGGTGAGGTCGACAGGCCCAGGTCACTCTGAGTCTTACAGACCATGTGAGAGAGTCTGCCCTTCATCCAAAGACCACAAGTAGGTACTGAAAGATTTTAATAGTGTGGGGGGGAGTGAGATTGCCAGATTTGCCTTTTAAATTAATTTCTCTCTCTCTCAAATACGGAGAAAGAGCCATAGGTCAAGAGTGAGCAAGAGAGAGATGGGGGGCTAGCTAGAAAACCACTCCAAAGCCTAGATGGCCACAACTGCTGCTAGGACTAGGGTGGTGGTAGCTGAAATTTAATTTAGAAAAGAATACAGATGCAGAAAATATGTACTTTTGGGGGGGTACCAGGGATCGAACTCGGGACCTTGCGCTCACGAGGCAGGTGGTGAAACCACTGATCTAGATCCCCAGCCCGAAAAGATGTACATTTGACAAGATTTGCTAAAGGACTGAAAACAAGGCGGAAATAGAGATGTGATTTTGAGCCTCCCAGAAGAGCCTGGCTTGCACAGTGGGTGGATGATGGGGCCACTCCTCAGTTTGGGCGCGCAGGAAAGGATTAGGGGTTTGGCTTTGCGTTTTGTTTTCTTTTGTTTTGCTAGGTGAGGATAGGACAGTGGATAGGTGCTTTGGTGGGCAGCACTTTGAGGTGCCTTGAAATACCTGGATGGAGATACTTCAGAAGGCAGTGGGTACTGGGGGAAAAAGTCAAGAGAAGTGTTCTGGGCTGAAGAAAACCAGCTAGCAGACAACAGGTTATTTGCATGTGGTATGGAAGCCAGGGAAGGTGATGGGCAGAGGGAGGAGTGGAGGGGGCCTGAGACTAAGTCTTGGGGCCACCAGCAGATGAACAGACTCTCTGGGGGCTCTGGCAGCTATGTCCCCTGTTAGACTTAATGTAAATGCACCTCCTCAGAAAGCCCCAGGCTGTATAGTGCTGTGCTGTCCTATTTGTTCCCTTCTTAATGTCACATTAAAAATTTTTTAAAAAGAAGAAATAGACAAATTTCTTAAAAGACACTCATTACCAAAGCTGACTCTAGAAGAAATACATGGTCACAATGGCCCTATAGCCATTAAAAATTTGAACTTATGGGGTAAAATTTCCTTGTAAAGAAAATTCCAGGCTCAGAAGGTTGATTAATTCCATCAAGTGTAATGAGAGATAATGGTAATTTTACATAAGTTCTCTTTTTAAAAAGCAATTCTATGGGGTCAGCATTACCCTGGTATCAAAACCAGACAAAGACATAAGATAATTGCATACCAATATCCCTTACAGACAAAAATGCAAACATTTACACAAAATTTTAGCATATCAAAAATCCAATAGCACATTAAAAAGATTATAAGTCATGATCAAGTGGGGCTTATTTCAGGAATAAGCATTCAAAATAATAATCAATGCAAGTCAGCATATTAACAAGCTTACAGAGAAAAAGTATGTATCATTTTAATAGATACAGAAAAAGCATTTGGCAAAATCCAACATCCATTCCTGATAAAAGTATTTAACAAAACTAGAAATGTAATGGAAAGAATGTCTGCTTTCTTGTCTCTATTCACCATTGTAATGGAGGTTCCAGCCATTGTAATCATGCAAGAAAACAATTTAAAAGGCAATCAAAGAAATAAAATTGTCTTTATTTACAGACCATGTGATCATCTCAAGTTCCTTATACCAAGGACAGTTTGAAGACAGCAGACTCGTGTTTCTAACTGAGTACTATTGACTTTTTGGGTCAGATAATTGTTTGGGTGGTAGATGGGTAGCAAGAGAACACTGGCTTCTGGTATTTCATGGGATGCTTAGCGTCATGGCTGGCCTCCACCGGCTAGGTCTCACCCCAACCCACTGCAGCTGCAATAGCCAAAAACATCACCAGACACGAATAAAAGCCTCTTGGAGGAGCAATCCCCCTCTCCTTGCCCTTGCTGAGAATTTTCACTGCAGAGTAATCTACCTTTCCAAGTGAAGTGGATTACAGGACTTGAGAATGAAGGCAGTTAGAAGATGGCTACGGTAGCAAAAGTGAAAATTAATGAAGGACTGAACTCTATTGGTAGTGGTGTGCTTGGACCAGAAAGTATGATAAGGTTTAAATGTAGTTTGGATAACAGTGTAGAATAGAGAAGCAGCTCAAGTTTTTCTTTGCATAAAGAGATGGACCATAGTCTTACATAAAAGATGATTATATTAGATGTAACAAAAAACATGGATTTAATTTCTTAGATGTCTGTCACAGTGTCTGAATTTCCTGATTCCAAAGTACCTCCAGGTAAAAACAATCAGAAAAAGTAATACTTCATTAACTGTGCTCTGATTTGATTTGGGTCTTGTTAAATATGAACTCAGTGGTCTTTCTTCCTAGTCCTTTCATCCTGAGAGTCATCACTCACATTGCAAGGTAGAGCCCCATAGAGCAGACTGGTTAATGAAAGTATAATAGAACAGTGGTGTGGCCAGGAGGGGCACGGAGGGGCACTGCAGTTAGCGTGCAGTTGTAAAGAGAAGCTTTCCATAGTTCTTCAGAAACACACACCTCTCCTCTACCTGGAAAAGCAGATAGAGAACATGGTGTGGTCAACTGGACCACACCGTTCTACCTTAGGACAGTAGCCACATCTCTGTCTGCTTTTTCATGTACAAAGACAGCATTTACTACCCTGTCAATACTTTGTCATGTTTTATACCTTCCTACACTTCAACTTTTTGACGTTGCTATAGAGGATGATAAATAATGGATTGAAACAATTTACCTTGGGGTGAAAAGCGAAACACATGCCAGGGGCCTGTCGTGATAGTAAAGCTTCTCCTTTCTTTTCCTTGTCCCCTCCTTTCACGTTGCTGCCAGCCGTAGTTCGTTTTAACCGCATCAAATCTTTTTTAAAAATGTAATTTGTTATTTACCACATAAAAGGTGTGCAAGTACCACATGTGTCTCTTCTGCAAACAGTGCGATTTCTGCCATCTTTTGCATGTAATTAGGTTAAAATTAGCAAAAAACAAAACTAAATGCTTAAAGGAACAATATTCAAACCCAGCTTCCTTTCTTATTGGCCAAACCAAAATAAATACGTTACCATTCATACACGACTCACAGGGATTTTTAATTCAACACACAAGAGAAAGATCTCTCTCTCTCTCTCTCTCTCTCTCTCACCATGGCAGTACAGTCCTTTCCGTATAACCCATTTGGAGATTCTTCCATCTGCTGATATGGAAACTAGGAATTCTCTTTTGTCATCACCCGTTGTTCCTCGGTCTTGTTCTATCCACTGCAGTTGCCAAACAGGTCCCAAATGTTTTTGAGGTGATTCACTAAAACAGGGAAGAATGCCAATTACAGAATTAGCATGATAAATTTAGAGGCCTTGACAAATAGTGATAAACATGGCATCCTAGAGAATCATAATATATTTATATAATTTTTAAGAATTTTGAAAACCATATGATCATCTCAATAGATGCAGAAAAAGCATTCGACAAAATTCAACACCCATTCATGATAAAAACCCCAAAGAAAATTGGAATAGATGGTCTCTATCTTAACTTGATAAAGGCTATCTATGAAAAACCAACAGCCAACATCATACTAAATGATCAAAACTGAAAACCTTCACACTAAAATCAGGAACAAGACAAGGATGTCCACTATCACCACTCCTGTTCAATATAGTTTTGAAAATATCAGCCACAGCAATTATACAAGAGAAAGAAATAAAAGCAATAACGATAGGAAAGGAAGAAGTTAAACTGTCATTATTTGCTGATGGTATGATACTCTACATAGAAGACCCAAAAAACTCTGCCAAAAGACTTCTAGACTTAATTGACAGATTCAGTAGAGTAGCTGGATACAAGGTCAACACTCAGAAATCAATAGTCTTCTTGTACACATATAACAGACTCACTGCGAGAGAAATTAGGGAAACAATCCCTTTCACAATAGCATCCAAAAAAATGAAATACCTAGGAATTAATCTAACGAAGGAAGCAAAAGACCTCTACATTGAGAACTGCAGCACACAGAAAAAAGAGATTGAAGAGGATATAAGAAAATGGAAAGACATTCCCTGTTCCTGGATAGGAAGAACCAATATAGTGAAAATGGCCATACTTCCAAAGCTGCTATACAGATTCAATGCAATCCCGATTGAAATCCCAAGAGTATATTTCACAGAACTAGAGAAAACAATTTAAAAATTCATTTGGAACCAGAAGAGACCTAGAATAGCAAAAGCAATTCTAGGCAACAGACACATGGCAGGGGGTATCACAATTCCC